GGAGACATTAATTGTCGAAATCCGCATATTTGTTTTGCATGCAACATGTATAAAAATTGCGGTTTTTATCCAACGCAATCATAGGTTTGAACGTTGTTTTCAATTTAGACTTGTTTATATTTTTTCGTTTGGGCTTGAAGTATATTTGCCTTCGGATTTATATGATCCGTTCATCCTATTTTGACTCCTCAAAATGCAAGAACCTATCCTAAATTGAGGTAAATTGTATGGCTTTCCAAATACCGTTTCGATTCCTAACATCACTGAGGAGACATTAATTGTCGAAATCCGCATATTTGTTTTGCATGCAACATGTATAAAAATTGCGGTTTTTATCCAACGCAATCATAGGTTTGAACGTTGTTTTCAATTTAGACTTGTTTATATTTTTTCGTTTGGGCTTGAATTATATTTGCCTTCGGATTTATATGATCCGTTCATCCTATTTTGACTCCTCAAAATTCAAGTCTATCCTAAATTGAGGTAAATTGTATGGCTTTCCAAATACCGTTTCGATTCCTAACATCACTGAAGAGACATTAATTGTCGAAATCCGGATATGGTGTACAAAAACCTTTGCACCTTTATTGGTGGTATACCATCTTTTCCGCAAGTTTATTGTTTTCTGTTTAGTATTAAATTTAAAATTCCATTTATGACATAGGTGATCCGTTTATTTGGCAATCGCCAATGGCAGTCAGCAGGGTTTAAGAACATTTTTTGTTCGACCTGTTAGTCAAATGCGTTTTGTTAAAATATACATTTTCACGTTTTTGGTCTTTTGGAAAATGTTGTTTGTGCTACAAGAAATTTGTTTTGCATGCACACGTATAAAAATTGCGGTTTTTATCCAGCGCAATCATAGGTTTGAACGGTTTTTTTTTCAATTTAGACTTGTTTATAATTTTTCGTTTGGGCTTGAATTATATTTGCCTTCGGATTTATATGATCCGTTCATCCTATTTTGACTCCTCAAAATTCAAGTCTATCCTAAATTGAGGTAAATTGTATGGCTTTCCAAATACCGTTTCGATTCCTAACATCACTGAAGAGACATTAATTGTCGAAATCCGGATATGGTGTACAAAAACCTTTGCACCTTCATCTTTTCCGCAAGTTTATTGTTTTCTGTTTAGTATTAAATTTAAAATTCCATTTATGACATTGGTGATCCGTTTATTTGGCAATCGCCAATGGCAGTCAGCAGGGTTTAAGAACATTTTTTGTTCGACCTGTTAGTCAAATGCGTTTTGTTAAAATATACATTTTCACGTTTTTGGTCTTTTGGAAAATTTTGTTTGTGCTGTATTTATATCCCTCTTACAAGAAATTTGTTTTGCATGCACACGTATAAAATTTGTGGTTTTTATCCAACGCAATCATAGGTTTGAACGTTGTTTTCAATTTTGACTTGTTTATATTTTTTCGTTTGGGCTTGTATTATATTTGCCTTCGGGTTTATATGATCCGTTCATTCTATTTTGACTCCTCAAAATTCAAGAGTCTATCCTAAATTGAGGTAAATTGTATGGCTTTCTAACAAGAAATTGGTTTTGCATGCACACGTATAAAAATTGCGGTTTTTATCCAACGCAATCATAGGTTTGAACGTTGTTTTCAATTTAGACTTGTTTATATTTTTTCGTTTGGGCTTGAAGTATATTTGCCTTCGGGTTTATATGATCCGTTCATCCTATTTTGACTCCTCAAAATGCAAGAATCTATCCTAAATTGAGGTAAATTGTATTGCTTTCCAAATACCGTTTCGATTCCTAACATCACTGAGGAGACATTAATTGTCGAAATCCGCGTATTTGTTTTGCATGCAACATGTATAAAAATTGCGGTTTTTATCCAACGCAATCATAGGTTTGAACGTTGTTTTCAATTTAGACTTGTTTATATTTTTTCGTTTGGGCTTGAGTTATATTTGCCTTCGGATTTATATGATCCGTTCATCCTATTTTGACTCCTCAAAATTCAAGTCTATCCTAAATTGAGGTAAATTGTATGGCTTTCCAAATACCGTTTCGATTCCTAACATCACTGAAGAGACATTAATTGTCGAAATCCGGATATGGTGTACAAAAACCTTTGCACCTTCATCTTTTCCGAAAGTTTATTGTTTTCTGTTTAGTATTAAATTTAAAATTCCATTTATGACATTGGTGATCCGTTTATTTGGCAATCGCCAATGGCAGTCAGCAGGGTTTAAGAACATTTTTTGTTCGACCTGTTAGTCAAATGCGTTTTGTTAAAATATACATTTTCACGTTTTTGGTCTTTTGGAAAATGTTTGTGCTACAAGAAATTTGTTTTGCATGCACACGTATAAAAATTGCGGTTTTTATCCAGCGCAATCATAGGTTTGAACGTTTTTTTTCAATTTAGACTTGTTTATAATTTTTCGTTTGGGCTTGAATTATATTTGCCTGCGGGTTTATATGATCCGTTCATCCTATTTTGACTCCTCAAAATTCAAGTCTATCCTAAATTGAGGTAAATTGTATGGCTTTCCAAATACCGTTTCGATTCCTAACATCACTGAAGAGACATTAATTGTCGAAATCCGGATATGGTGTACAAAACCCTTTGCACCTTTATTGGTGGTATACCATCTTTTCCGCAAGTTTATTGTTTTCTGTTTAGTATTAAATTTAAAATTCCATTTATTACATCGGTGATCCGTTTATTTGGCAATCGCTAATGGCAGTCAGCAGGGTTTAAGAACATTTGTTGTTCGACCTGTTAGTCAAATGCGTTTTGTTAAAATATACATTTTCACGTTTTTGGTCTTTTGGAAAATGTTGTTTGTGCTGTATTTATATCCCTCTTACAAGAAATTTGTTTTGCATGCACACGTATAAAATTTGTGGTTTTTATCCAACGCAATCATAGGTTTGAACGTTGTTTTCAATTTAGACTTGTTTATATTTTTTCGTTTGGGCTTGTATTATATTTGCCTTCGGGTTTATATGATCCGTTCATTCTATTTTGACTCCTCAAAATTCAAGAGTCTATCCTAAATTGAGGTAAATTGTATGGCTTTCTAACAAGAAATTGGTTTTGCATGCACACGTATAAAATTTGTGGTTTTTATCCAACGCAATCATAGGTTTGAACGTTGTTTTCAATTTAGACTTGTTTATATTTTTTCGTTTGGGCTTGAAGTATATTTGCCTTCGGGTTTATATGATCCGTTCATCCTATTTTGACTCCTCAAAATGCAAGAATCTATACTAAGTTGAGGTAAATTGTATTGCTTTCCAAATAAATTCAAGAGTCTATCCTAAATTGAGGTAAATTGTATGGCTTTCTAACAAGAAATTGGTTTTGCATGCACACGTATAAAAATTGCGGTTTTTATCCAACGCAATCATAGGTTTGAACGTTGTTTTCAATTTAGACTTGTTTATATTTTTTCGTTTGGGCTTGAAGTATATTTGCCTTCGGGTTTATATGATCCGTTCATCCTATTTTGACTCCTCAAAATGCAAGAATCTATCCTAAATTGAGGTAAATTGTATTGCTTTCCAAATACCGTTTCGATTCCTAACATCACTGAGGAGACATTAATTGTCGAAATCCGCGTATTTGTTTTGCATGCAACATGTATAAAAATTGCGGTTTTTATCCAACGCAATCATAGGTTTGAACGTTGTTTTCAATTTAGACTTGTTTATATTTTTTCGTTTGGGCTTGAGTTATATTTGCCTTCGGATTTATATGATCCGTTCATCCTATTTTGACTCCTCAAAATTCAAGTCTATCCTAAATTGAGGTAAATTGTATGGCTTTCCAAATACCGTTTCGATTCCTAACATCACTGAAGAGACATTAATTGTCGAAATCCGGATATGGTGTACAAAAACCTTTGCACCTTTATTGGTGGTATACCATCTTTTCCGCAAGTTTATTGTTTTCTGTTTAGTATTAAATTTAAAATTCCATTTATTACATCGGTGATCCGTTTATTTGGCAATCGCCAATGGCAGTCAGCAGGGTTTAAGAACATTTGTTGTTCGACCTGTTAGTCAAATGCGTTTTGTTAAAATATACATTTTCACGTTTTTGGTCTTTTGGAAAATGTTGTTTGTGCTGTATTTATATCCCTCTTACAAGAAATTTGTTTTGCATGCACACGTATAAAATTTGTGGTTTTTATCCAACGCAATCATAGGTTTGAACGTTGTTTTCAATTTAGACTTGTTTATATTTTTTCGTTTGGGCTTGTATTATATTTGCCTTCGGGTTTATATGATCCGTTCATTCTATTTTGACTCCTCAAAATTCAAGAGTCTATCCTAAATTGAGGTAAATTGTATGGCTTTCTAACAAGAAATTGGTTTTGCATGCACACGTATAAAAATTGCGGTTTTTATCCAACGCAATCATAGGTTTGAACGTTGTTTTCAATTTAGACTTGTTTATATTTTTTCGTTTGGGCTTGAAGTATATTTGCCTTCGGGTTTATATGATCCGTTCATCCTATTTTGACTCCTCAAAATGCAAGAATCTATCCTAAATTGAGGTAAATTGTTTTGCTTTCCAAATACCGTTTCGATTCCTAACATCACTGAGGAGACATTAATTGTCGAAATCCGCATATTTGTTTTGCATGCAACATGTATAAAAATTGCGGTTTTTATCCAACGCAATCATAGGTTTGAACGTTGTTTTCAATTTAGACTTGTTTATATTTTTTCGTTTGGGCTTGAATTATATTTGCCTTCGGATTTATATGATCCGTTCATCCTATTTTGACTCCTCAAAATTCAAGTCTATCCTAAATTGAGGTAAATTGTATGGCTTTCCAAATACCGTTTCGATTCCTAACATCACTGAAGAGACATTAATTGTCGAAATCCGGATATGGTGTACAAAAACCTTTGCACCTTTATTGATGGTATACCATCTTTTCCGCAAGTTTATTGTTTTCTGTTTAGTATTAAATTTAAAATTCCATTTATTATTGATGCGCAATGATTAGAAATACGGTATTGGCAGTATTTGGCCACAGCTTTATTATAAAATTATAAACACATATAACTAGGTAAACAGTTAAGATATATATATGTAAAGTAAATAGATATTTGGATGAACGTAGTCACCTTTCATATTGGCAAACTACGACACGATAACTAGATAACTAAATAGATAAATAATTAAGATATATATATAGTAAATAGATAATTAATTAAACGTAGTCACCTTTCATATTGGCAGACTACAAAAAGATAACTAGATAGATAGATAGATAACTAGATAACTAATTATTTACAATAAATGAAGCATCCAATTAAATGAATCCTGGGAAACAGAGATTCGTAAATTTTTGTGTGGTGGTCCTGGGATACAGAGACCCACAATATCAAATGTTTTGGATGCTAAATGAAATATGACGCCAAATGACGCATATTTAAAGGAAACGCAGCGAAATGTGCCAAATTGACCAAGACAGTCATAAATGACTGTCGGGTCAACCGCCATAAAAGCGGATAGAGCTGCGTAGAAGCTGTGAGCCAAATACAATATAAAGGACTCATATATTTAAACCCTAACGATAACTGAATTCTAATGAATATCATGCAATTTCTTAATACACATTGTGGAAAGTATGTGGTGTGTAGACAAGAAAGGCTTCTACCGCGCCTTGAAATGTGGTAAGCAAAATGTATTACCAATATGAGTCAAATGTTCACCATCATGGCATTTAAATATGGAATTGGGAGATACATCGGAGTATCGTATGTATTGATTGCAATATCCCCCTTGACGAATGATCAAACTAGCCAGCCAGCTGATTATCCTCTTTCTGGTTCTAATCATTGTTTCTGTTACTACGGAATAATGTCATGTTTATTTGGCAAACTTAAGACCACAACAATCTGATATTCAGTAAAAGAACAGAAACTATATTCACAGTATTTTCCCACATCTTATATGTTATACTCCTGTCGTATTGTCAATTCAATCAATTCCGCGTATCTACATATGTGTAAAATTAGAGATATTGAAAACTGAATTCCAGTTTAATCTTGTACAAGATGAATGCCACCTGGTATATTCCAAACTTGAATAAATTCGTTTTCTACAAAGGTGGAAACCAAACTCTAATGATTACTGGCGAAACTGCTAATCTTACATAACGGTTAGTATTACTAAAGTAATTGCAAGTTCTAAATATAAAATTAGAAAAAATTCAAACAGTTATACCCATTGTTGTATTTGAATATTTGAACGAAATGACATAGACTTCCATGAACACATTGCCTGAGGTTTAGAATCAGGTCAACCATTTGTGGCAGCTCTGTAGCAGCGCCTTTCCTGAAGAAACGAGAACTTTGTATCCCTTGACTTAATCCGAAAATATTCAGTGACTATTTTAGGACTCCTAAACTGATATTTAGAGAAAGGAGTTCTATCAAAACAAGCATTCTGAAAGTAATGCATTGCAATACATAGCCACTACCGGTTAATAATTCATTGTACTGGAACAAAATATTAACTTGATCTATAACTTGTCATGGTGTAAACTATAGAACAAATATCAAGTCAATATATTCAAGCATGACGAGAAAAAAAAAATGTGGAAAACTGATTATTAAGTAAATTTTTATTAAGTCCAGGGACCATTACCCTGCACAAAATCACCAAACCGGAACAAAACTCGAAACTTGAGCAATTACTTGTCATGATAAAACTATATACCAATTATTAAAGCTATATCTTCAAGCATGACAACAACAAAAAATTGAGGAAAACTGATAATGTGTGTGAATTTATAGAATATTAAGTCCAAGGACCAAAACTCAGCACAAAAATCAGCAGACTGGAACAAAATATGAACTTGATATGTAACTTACCATGATAAAACTATGTACAAATTATCAAATCAATATCTTCAAGCAATAACAACAAAAAAAATAATTGCGGAAAACTGATTATTTGGGGGAATTTTCTTAGTCCAAGGACCATAACTTTGAACAAAATCATTAGGCTGGAATACAATTCGAACTTGATCTGTAACTTGTCATGATAAAACTATATACCAATTATCAAATCGATATCTTCAAGTAAGACGAACAAATATGCGGAAAACTGATTATTTGAGTGCATTTTCTCAGTCCAAGGACCATAACTTTGCACAGAATCATCATACTGGAACGCAATTCGAACTTGGTCTGTAACTTATCATGATAAAACTATATACAATTTATCAAATCAATATATTCAAGCATGACGAAAACATGTGCAGACAACTGATTATTTTAATGAATTCTCTTAGTCCAAGGACCATAGTTTGCACAAAATCATCAGACCGGAACACAATTCGAACCTGATCTGTAACTTGTCACGATAAAACTATATACCAATTATCAAATCAACGTCTTCAAGTATGACGAAAAAATGTGCGGAAAACTAATTATTTGTGTGTATTTGACCACAACTCTGCACAAAATCATCAGACCGGAACAACATTCATACTTGGTCAGTAACTTGTCATGATAAAACAATACACCAAATATCAAACCGATATCTTCAAGCACGAAAACAAAAATGTAGAAGACTGATTTGCCGGATTGACAGGTGGACAGACAGACAGACGAACATAGTGAGAACCTTAAGTCCCCTTAAACTCAATCGGTAGGGGACTTATAACAAAGCAATTAACCAGCGACAGGTCTAAACTTGTAAATAGTAAGCTATTTCGTTTAAGCAAAAAATAGGATAAGCATATCTAGGCCGCTCATCAATAACGTGTGTGGTTCCTTCGAAGCACTGGTCAGTCTTAGATAAAATTAAATGGAGTTCAATAATATATATATTTTTCTTGATATCTGGCGAGATGACAATATTATTTGTAATTTAGTTCATTTGTTAGAATAATTTTTTTTTTTTTTTTATTAGTATTAATCATTAGCGTAGAGATCGTTTGTACACTATTTTCGATTGCAAGTTACTTTTACAAACTTGATCACCAAAAGTTTTAATCTTTGAAAAGATTATCGTCTGCAAATCGTTGACATGAACTTACAATCTCAGAGAGTTAACGGTTTCCTTACATTTACTATATACCATTTCTAAGGTCAAGAAAAGTTCAAATCGTAATCGGCATCGCAGCTTGTAGATACATTACGTTAGGAATTTATTATCTCAAATTGTAACGTATCTAAATAGAAAGATTTTGTATTCGAAAGAGAAACATCGAAATGTGTGTTAAATAATGTGAACAGTTGTACAAGGACTATCAAGTATACAGCCAAATCGATTGAGGATATAATAATACTGCTATATTAACATAGTTGTTGAATGCCTAGTCCCTAACCGTTGAACTTTATATCTAGCTTAATTCCACTGCAAAAGTATCTCAGCAACAATATATTTATACTCAAGTTCAATTTCTTTATTTGTTATTTTTGTATGAGGCAAAACTGGTTTAATAACAAGTTTTCCCTGTTCATATGACACTTTTTGCTGATCATTATCAATTATAGAGTTGTTCCTAAGTAGAAAAAAGATGACATACTCGCCCGTTTGATTTTTTGATTTTATTTTAAGTACTGACTAACATCTTAATCAAGACTAGGAGAGTAACTAGTTGTTTGCGTGAGATTTGAATGATCTTTACCGATTGCATTACCTGGTCGATTTACTACATCACAAGAACAACTATCATCCTGAAGTTGGGGGATCGTTAGATGCTGGTACTGAACCTGGTTAAAGTTGTGTTTCCTCTTGTCTAGATGCAGCTCCTAATGTTGCAGTGGCTTTCCATCGTTTTGATGACCTTCTTGTATTCATCTTAGTGCCAAACAACTATAAGATTAAATTGAACAACCAAAACAGAATATTGCTTTGTACTATAAATAAAGAATTTGTCAATTAGCGAACTTTAAAAGTTCATTGACGCCTATAACCAACCAGTTTAACATTCATCTGTCAGGAATGAAATATTTGTGTTTACGTGAAGTGATACCGTTGCACAAATGTCGGTCAGCTTCCGACAATAAATTATTCTGGGTTACACGAGCGAGGAGGCTGATTAAACAATCTGTACCGAATGACGATGCTGTTAAAAATAGCGCAAGTGAGGTGATATATGCTAATTTATATTATAAAATCGGTCAAAGTAATTAAACGGACACAGTGGTAATTTAACAGAATACTAGACGATATTTAAAACACATGTACTATATATAACTATCTATAATGATTATAATAATTAACATCCAGAATGATGATAATAACATCTAGAAATGATGATAAAAAACATTTATAATGATAGTAATAACCTGAGGTAGATAATTAGACAGCTAACAAATTGTTGCGATTGCATATATAATGATGCTTACAGTTAAGGTTATGGTGATGCATACATGAAGAGATAAAAAATAATTATGTTGAACATGCGTAACCTTCAATTAGCATTAAGCTGTGACCGCCGGAGTGAAATGTGCAGATCGGTGTCAAGCGTTGAATTGAAATGGAATAAAACGTGTATATCTCTATGTAACAGTACATAAAAAAAAAATTAATAGCTCAATACTTATACATAAACACCGATCGCTACCTCCGGATAGTAAAAGTATTATAACATGTAAAAATAAGCAAAATAAGCAATAAATTGAAATTAATTTATTATAAAACACTGATATTCTATTAAATATCCCACAATTGTTGCGGGAGACTAACTCTAATTATACCACCTGAGTTCCAATTGTAGAAAAGTGGTACCAAAACCTGCACAATGTGGATCCTATATCTTTTTAATCACCAAAATAATTTTCTTTAAATCTTTAAATCACCAAATAATATTCCGTCTGTTTCTTTCAAATGTCGAAATGAAAAGATCGCGTGCGCAGTCATATTGCGCATTGACAAACATACATCTGATAGCCTACATTTAATAGAGATGAAACAGCTAATAACACAAGTAATCTATGCTTACACTAATAACCGAATTTATGCTGAATCATAAATTCTATTATGACATTGGTGATCCGTTTATTTGGCAATCGCCAATGGCAGTCAGCAGGGTTTAAGAACATTTTTTGTTCGACCTGTTAGTCAAATGCGTTTTGTTAAAATATACATTTTCACGTTTTTGGTCTTTTGGAAAATGTTGTTTGTGCTACAAGAAATTTGTTTTGCATGCACACGTATAAAAATTGCGGTTTTTATCCAGCGCAATCATAGGTTTGAACGTTTTTTTTTCAATTTAGACTTGTTTATAATTTTTCGTTTGGGCTTGAATTATATTTGCCTGCGGGTTTATGTGATCCGTTCATCCTATTTTGACTCCTCAAAATTCAAGTCAATCCTAAATTGAGGTAAATTGTATGGCTTTCCAAATACCGTTTCGATTCCTAACATCACTGAAGAGACATTAATTGTCGAAATCCGGATATGGTGTACAAAACCCTTTGCACTATATTGGTGGTATACCATCTTTTCCGCAAGTTTATTGTTTTCTGTTTAGTATTAAATTTAAAATTCCATTTATTACATCGGTGATCCGTTTATTTGGCAATCGCCAATGGCAGTCAGCAGGGTTTAAGAACATTTGTTGTTCGACCTGTTAGTCAAATGCGTTTTGTTAAAATATACATTTTCACGTTTTTGGTCTTTTGGAAAATTTTGTTTGTGCTGTATTTATATCCCTCTTACAAGAAATTTGTTTTGCATGCACACGTATAAAATTTGTGGTTTTTATCCAACGCAATCATAGGTTTGAACGTTGTTTTCAATTTAGACTTGTTTATATTTTTTCGTTTGGGCTTGTATTATATTTGCCTTCGGGTTTATATGATCCGTTCATTCTATTTTGACTCCTCAAAATTCAAGAGTCTATCCTAAATTGAGGTAAATTGTATGGCTTTCTAACAAGAAATTGGTTTTGCATGCACACGTATAAAAATTGCGGTTTTTATCCAACGCAATCATAGGTTTGAACGTTGTTTTCAATTTAGACTTGTTTATATTTTTTCGTTTGGGCTTGAAGTATATTTGCCTTCGGGTTTATATGATCCGTTCATCCTATTTTGACTCCTCAAAATGCAAGAATCTATCCTAAATTGAGGTAAATTGTATTGCTTTCCAAATACCGTTTCGATTCCTAACATCACTGAGGAGACATTAATTGTCGAAATCCGCATATTTGTTTTGCATGCAACATGTATAAAAATTGCGGTTTTTATCCAACGCAATCATAGGTTTGAACGTTGTTTTCAATTTAGACTTGTTTATATTTTTTCGTTTGGGCTTGAATTATATTTGCCTTCGGATTTATATGATCCGTTCATCCTATTTTGACTCCTCATATTCAAGTCTATCCTAAATTGAGGTAAATTGTATGGCTTTCCAAATACCGTTTCGATTCCTAACATCACTGAAGAGACATTAATTGTCGAAATCCGGATATGGTGTACATAAACCTTTGCACCTTCAATTTTTCCGCAAGTTTATTGTTTTCTGTTTAGTATTAAATTTAAAATTCCATTTATGACATTGGTGATCCGTTTATTTGGCAATCGCCAATGGCAGTCAGCAGGGTTTAAGAACATTTTTTGTTCGACCTGTTAGTCAAATGCGTTTTGTTAAAATATACATTTTCACGTTTTTGGTCTTTTGGAAAATGTTGTTTGTGCTACAAGAAATTTGTTTTGCATGCACACGTATAAAAATTGCGGTTTTTATCCAGCGCAATCATAGGTTTGAACGTTTTTTTTTCAATTTAGACTTGTTTATAATTTTTCGTTTGGGCTTGAATTATATTTGCCTGCGGGTTTATATGATCCGTTCATCCTATTTTTACTCCTGAAAATTCAAGTCAATCCTAAATTGAGGTAAATTGTATGGCTTTCCAAATACCGTTTCGATTCCTAACATCACTGAAGAGACATTAATTGTCGAAATCCGGATATGGTGTACAAAACCCTTTGCACCTTTATTGGTGGTATACCATCTTTTCCGCAAGTTTATTGTTTTCTGTTTAGTATTAAATTTAAAATTCCATTTATTACATCGGTGATCCGTTTATTTGGCAATCGCCAATGGCAGTCAGCAGGGTTTAAGAACATTTGTTGTTCGACCTGTTAGTCAAATGCGTATTGTTAAAATATACATTTTCACGTTTTTGGTCTTTTGGAAAATGTTGTTTGTGCTGTATTTATATCCCTCTTACAAGAAATTTGTTTTGCATGCACACGTATAAAAATTGCGGTTTTTATCCAACGCAATCATAGGTTTGAACGTTGTTTTCAATTTAGACTTGTTTATATTTTTTCGTTTGGGCTTGTATTATATTTGCCTTCGGGTTTATATGATCCGTTCATTCTATTTTGACTCCTCAAAATTCAAGAGTCTATCCTAAATTGAGGTAAATTGTATGGCTTTCTAACAAGAAATTGGTTTTGCATGCACACGTATAAAAATTGCGGTTTTTATCCAACGCAATCATAGGTTTGAACGTTGTTTTCAATTTAGACTTGTTTATATTTTTTCGTTTGGGCTTGAAGTATATTTCCCTTCGGGTTTATATGATCCGTTCATCCTATTTTGACTCCTCAAAATGCAAGAATCTATCCTAAATTGAGGTAAATTGTATTGCTTTCCAAATACCGTTTCGATTCCTAACATCACTGAGGAGACATTAATTGTCGAAATCCGCATATTTGTTTTGCATGCAACATGTATAAAAATTGCGGTTTTTATCCAACGCAATCATAGGTTTGAACGTTGTTTTCAATTTAGACTTGTTTATATTTTTTCGTTTGGGCTTGAGTTATATTTGCCTTCGGATTTATATGATCCGTTCATCCTATTTTGACTCCTCAAAATTCAAGTCTATCCTAAATTGAGGTAAATTGTATGGCTTTCCAAATACCGTTTCGATTCCTAACATCACTGAAGAGACATTAATTGTCGAAATCCGGATATGGTGTACAAAAACCTTTGCACCTTCATCTTTTCCGCAAGTTTATTGTTTTCTGTTTAGTATTAAATTTAAAATTCCATTTATGACATTGGTGATCCGTTTATTTGGCAATCGCCAATGGCAGTCCGCAGGGTTTAAGAACATTTTTTGTTCGACCTGTTAGTCAAATGCGTTTTGTTAAAATATACATTTTCACGTTTTTGGTCTTTTGGAAAATGTTGTTTGTGCTACAAGAAATTTGTTTTGCATGCACACGTATAAAAATTGCGGTTTTTATCCAGCGCAATAATAGGTTTGAACGTTTTTTTTCAATTTAGACTTGTTTATAATTTTTCGTTTGGGCTTGAATTATATTTGCCTGCGGGTTTATATGATCCGTTCATCCTATTTTGACTCCTCAAAATTCAAGTCAATCCTAAATTGAGGTAAATTGTATGGCTTTCCAAATACCGTTTCGATTCCTAACATCACTGAAGAGACATTAATTGTCGAAATCCGGATATGGTGTACAAAACCCTTTGCACCTTTATTGGTGGTATACCATCTTTTCCGCAAGTTTATTGTTTTCTGTTTAGTATTAAATTTAAAATTCCATTTATTACATCGGTGATCCGTTTATTTGGCAATCGCCAATGGCAGTCAGCAGGGTTTAAGAACATTTGTTGTTCGACCTGTTAGTCAAATGCGTTTTGTTAAAATATACATTTTCACGTTTTTGGTCTTTTGGAAAATGTTGTTTGTGCTGTATTTATATCCCTCTTACAAGAAATTTGTTTTGCATGCACACGTATAAAATTTGTGGTTTTTATCCAACGCAATCATAGGTTTGAACGTTGTTTTCAATTTAGACTTGTTTATTTTTTTTCGTTTGGGCTTGTATTATATTTGCCTTCGGGTTTATATGATCCGTTCATTCTATTTTGACTCCTCAAAATTCAAGAGTCTATCCTAAATTGAGGTAAATTGTATGGCTTTCTAACAAGAAATTGGTTTTGCATGCACACGTATAAAAATTGCGGTTTTTATCCAACGCAATCATAGGTTTGAACGTTGTTTTCAATTTAGACTTGTTTATATTTTTTCGTTTGGGCTTGAAGTATATTTCCCTTCGGGTTTATATGATCCGTTCATCCTATTTTGACTCCTCAAAATGCAAAAATCTATCCTAAATTGAGGTAAATTGTATGGCTTTCCAAATACCGTTTCGATTCCTAACATCACTGAGGAGACATTAATTGTCGAAATCCGCATATTTGTTTTGCATGCAACATGTATAAAAATTGCGGTTTTTATCCAACGCAATCATAGGTTTGAACGTTGTTTTCAATTTAGACTTGTTTATATTTTTTCGTTTGGGCTTGAATTATATTTGCCTTCGGATTTATATGATCCGTTCATCCTATTTTGACTCCTCAAAATTCAAGTCTATCCTAAATTGAGGTAAATTGTATGGCTTTCCAAATACCGTTTCGATTCCTAACATCACTGAAGAGACATTAATTGTCGAAATCCGGATATGGTGTACAAAAACCTTTGCACCTTTATTGGTGGTATACCATCTTTTCCGCAAGTTTATTGTTTTCTGTTTAGTATTAAATTTAAAATTCCATTTATGACATTGGTGATCCGTTTATTTGGCAATCGCCAATGGCAGTCAGCAGGGTTTAAGAACATTTTTTGTTCGACCTGTTAGTCAAATGCGTTTTGTTAAAATATACATTTTCACGTTTTTGGTCTTTTGGAAAATGTTGTTTGTGCTACAAGAAATTTGTTTTGCATGCACACGTATAAAAATTGCGGTTTTTATCCAGCGCAATCATAGGTTTGAACGTTTTTTTTTCAATTTAGACTTGTTTATAATTTTTCGTTTGGGCTTGAATTATATTTGCCTGCGGGTTTATATGATCCGTTCATCCTATTTTGACTCCTCAAAATTCAAGTCAATCCTAAATTGAGGTAAATTGTATGGCTTTCCAAATACCGTTTCGATTCCTAACATCACTGAAGAGACATTAATTATCGAAATCCGGATATGGTGTACAAAAA